ATTCACTCGTCTCTGTGCAGCACTCAGAAAACAAATCAGGTGTTGCCTTTCTGGAGTTGTTGGTGGAAAGAGAAAAGGGAAGGTTCATTAGTGGCTTTTCAAACTTTTCCAACTCAACTAACATGAAGAAAAAGAAGAGCGACAGAAACAATCTTATGAGAATTGTGCTGACAGGACTTTGTTCTGAGGAAGCAGCACTGTGGAGGTTTCCAAGGTCCAAGAGAGGGTTCTTAGGCAAAGGGATTGCTGAAGAGTATAGGGAACTCTAGAGACCTAATGGGGAAAGAGTTTTGCTGCCAACCCAAAGGCAGGTGGTTCGAATCCATCAGCTGCCCCAGGAGAGATGGATCTGCAGTTTTCTCATGTGTGAGTTACAGCCTCTGCGACCCACTCGAGGATCTGCCATGCAACAACATCTAAAAGATGGACTCCCTGGTTAGCACACATTGCTAACAGACCTGGCTGCTAATCAAAAGGTTAGAAGTTCGAGCACATTCACAGCTATCTTGGAATAATACCTGGTCCTCTACTTACCCCAAAAATCACCCCCTGGAATCTGATGGAGCTGAGTCCTGCACTGACCGTTAATGGGTCATTAGCTAGACTCAGTGCCACCATGACTGGCCTTCATCTATGTTATATTAGACAGGGTCACTTACTCTCTCTCTGTCACTGAGGCTTGTTTTCCTCAAAAGTGGCAGAGGAAAAGATAACATAAAACTTCGAAAGGTAAGAGACTGGTTTCCAACATGATAGAAATGATGGATCCTTTGCTCAGAGAATACGCTGTGTAAGTGTTTATACATATATTTTACTCACTTTCTCTGGGTGGCGTTCAAAAGAATACACAGAGAAACAGACTTTTGGAAAAAGTCTCAAGGCACTGGACCTTTCTTTGTTCCTTTCTTAGAGAACCCCTCCAGACTGGAGGGTCTCCCTTGGCCCCATTTTCTGGATCATTCTGTGATAGTTTATTTAATTACTCTCACAAGTATATTTTTAAGAAAAGAATAGCAAAACCAGGTAAGATGCAAAACAATGCCCCTGGATGTGATGTATTCTTTAGTTATTTTGCATGTTTTTATAGCTCAATTAATTTCTTTCCAAAGGGTTCTTAAACTGTGAAGACAGTTTTTCAAATGACATTCATGGGTTTGTCAAATACTAGGGTCATGTTCTTTTTTTAAAAAAAAAAACAACTTTTAAAAAAAAATGAATTTTAGTGAAAGTTTACAGAAACTTAGGGTTTCCATTCATTCATTGTTGCACTTTTCTCCCTTCCCACCCTCCCCCCATTCATTCTTCTCCTTAAAAAGTAAAAGAAAAACTGTTTCATTGTTATACAATCCCTCCCCCCAAGTCCACTCCACTCTGCAGCCTTGGTTCTGGACTCCTGTCATGACAATAATACCCATCCATATGTCCCTTTTAAACAGTTCTCTCCCTCATCTGTTTCAATGCTGTAATACATCATTCCTCCCCTCCTCCTCCTCTGCCTTCCCTCAACCCCGATGTGAGTTCCGTTTAACAACAGTGGCCCTATGCAACAGGGTTATGTTCTTAAGGCTGATGTGGCACAGGATACCCTCAAACAGAAGAATATTTAAAATGATTTTAAAAAGACTGTGTTGGTTTGACAGGGACTGACTGGTGGAGAGGCTCACGCCTGGTGGCCCTTCATGTCTGGATCTAAACCTGGTCCTGGGGCTCAATGGAACAAGAGACAGGCTTAGAAAGAGAACAGTTACCACTTGTAAGGAACATTTTCAACAGAATAAATCCCCACACGAGACCAGGAGGGCAGTATCTGCTCCTGGACAAAGCTCTGAAGGCTGTCTCTCTCACTGCCATCTCTTTGGAACCAACTCATTGCTGATCCCCCAGCCGGCTTTCAGAGGCTGTGAGTTGCACTGTTAGGAGAATTGTCAGTCTATCTCCTGTAAAGCTGCGGGTGTGTGTGTGTGTGTGAAAACCATCCAAGAGCTACCTCTGGGTTAACAGTCCAAGTCCCTGCCCATCAGGCCATCACTGGAACTCCCCCTCCCCCCCAAAAAACCAAAAAATAAAAAACAAACACCAAAAAAACCAGGCAGGAGAAGGAAGCAAGGGCTGATGGGGGACTGGGAAGAGGAGTGTTATACTGAATGAACTATAACTAACATGCATAAACTGTTGAATGGAGAACAAGTCTGTTCTGTAAACTATGACAGCCAGCCATAAAAAGAAAAATACGTGTCTATACTTTCAAGGGGTGGGAGGGAAAAGACAGGAAGGAAAGTGTGAGAGAGAGCTATTGATATTGATATTGAGGAAGAGAGGCTAAGAGACAGGGAAAAAGTCAGAAGTTAAGAGACAGAAATACTGAGAGGGAGGCTGACTCAGAATGACAGGAAGTGAAATTGCAAAAAGCAAGAGAGAGATTTTGATTCAAATGCATGGGGGCTAAGAACTTGGCCTCCAGAGCTAGGCTGCCTGGGGCAGGAGTCTGAGGGTCTGGTCCTGGTTGTGTCTTCTCAACTAGGCTTGTGATCTTGGGCACATCACCTAATGTTTCCTCCTCACAAAACAGAAATAATTACAGCATCTCTCTCACAGGGCTTGCTGTGAAGATCAAAGCCGTGCCTGCCACGTAATAAAGCAACTGCATTCTCACAATGACGTAAGGATAAATACATAGGAAAACTCAAACTGTAGATTGAAACAGTAGTTGCATCGGCACTGTGAACTGATAGAGGGCTGTTTGTCCTTCTCAATTCCTACAAAGACTATTACTGTTATGATCAGGAGAATCAAAAAGTTTCAAAACAGAAAAATAATTTTAAGTCTTCCTTGAAGTGTGCTGAATGCCCAGAGGGTCCTCACCACATTGGTTCCCATGCAGTATTTTGTCAGACAGGCCACACCAGAGACTGAGATGGGATACTATCTAGTGTCCTGTCCACATTTCCTCACTATCTTCTCATTCGTCTTCAGAGTGGAAGGATCCTTGCAAATGTCAATGAGCTTTCAAGTGTAGCATTTCTGGTACAGGATGAATAGGGTCTTTCTTGGTTTCTTTTCACGCCACCCTGCCCTCTCAGATCTCATTACTCCCCACCAGAAGATTAGCCATTTTGAGGTACATGGACACTTTTGGAAAGAATCATGAGCGGCATGCCTCTTTTCCAAGAAAAAAAGCCCATCCAGGCACACGATTTTGCATTTAATCTCCATGGTTCCTCTCCACTCATCGAGACCACCTAAGTCATAGCAACAAAATTCTGGATACTATAAACACATATTAGGCGTGCATTCCCTTCTGAGAAAAACTGATGTAGTGAGACTCGGAAACTGCAAACCAGTTTTTGCTTTGCCAAAAATTCACCTCAGGACACTAATAAATAGCTCACAGGAAGCATGCTTGTCTGCTCAAAGGCTTTCCAGAATATACCTACCACAGAGTCAGACCCAATACACAAAGTTAACACCAGCTTCACTCTGAAGTTTAACTACACTCATTTACAGAAGTCCAGGTCTCTGGAATGGCCACTGACTCATATCTCTTAGATGACCTCTGGTCCATGAATGAGGCAGCCAGAAGCTTCGGGCTGGAGGAGAGGTGAGGAGTGGGGGTGGATCATGAGACTGTGTTGGAGCATCATCTGTGGTGAGATGAGTCCATCTCATTTCAGGGAGAGGACAAACAGCCCTGACGCCAGACCCCTGCATCCGTTCTAGCCTCTGAATGATCCCTTATGATGAGTCTGGAAGACAGGACTTCTGCTGCCATCTCCAGATGAGAGACTGGAGTTCTTAGAAGAGTTAGCACACATGTCACAAGCCAGACAGCCAGAATTTATCATACACAACTTAAAACAAGAACTCAGAGTTCTCTTAGTACCATCTTTGACCAGAGTTTCTGATAATGAAGAGCCACACAGTCTCCAGTAGCACCCCGAATCCCCCGAGCGTTTCAGGCTGTGTTTTTTACTCCTGCTGACTTTGTCAGTGGTCTCCAGAGAAAGGTGGCAGGGACTGAACTTCCCCTGGCCCCATCCAAACTGCCCTCCAAGCCGGCACCCACCTTCCCTTGCTCTTACCCAGGACAAGGATTCCTCCATTTCGAAGGGGCTCACCAAGACACCCATTAAAGACCCGGGAACCCAGCATGTCAAACAATCCTCATGCAACTCCAAACTGCCATCTGAAGCTTTCCACTCCTGCCTGAGTTACCGTTCAGCTTCTCTTACTAGCTGCTACATTTGACTTGATCCTCTTCCAAGATCCTCAAACATGTGCCTGGCACCCACGAGAGAGTTTCAAAAGCCAGTGTAGCAAAGAGAGTGTATCAAAGAGAAGTGCTAGAGAACTGGGGGGTGTGTGTGTGTTTGTATAATGCTCCACAAAAGCAATTGTAAGTTATTAGAACATAAACTATCACCAAGAGACACAGCAACTTTCTCTGCGAAGGAGGTATTCCCTCGTGCCTAGTATTGGATTTTCCAAACAAGTGGTATATGCAGAGTGAAGGGACATCCTTGTTTCAGAGAAGGGCCTCAGACCTTTGGGATGCAAACAACCTGACTAACCCGGGGCCACGCTTCCTGAAAGATGCTCTCCCCCGGGCCACCTCCAGCCTCCACAAACTGCCTGACGCCTACACCTGTTTTGGTCACAAGCAGATTCAAAGCATGAAGGGGCCAAACCATCACTTCCCTGGGAAAGCGATCAAGGGGCAGGAGGTTAATGAGAATTGCTTGTTAATTCGCAGGGTGCAAGGAGCTTAATGCAAAGCCATGGGTGTGGGTGAGTAGAGGCTGCGAGGCCACAGAGACAGGGTCCAGCCTCCTTAGCAGCCAGTCCTGTTGGACATCCAAGTCTCACCGCGGTGGCAGCCTCTGAACCCTGCTCGGACTGGGGACCCCTTTTAGCTCAGTCTGAAGGACACAAGGGTGGGCAGAGAGCAGGAGAGCAGCAGTGAGTTAGTTGTGTTCTCTTGGGCAAGTGTGCGCCTGCAGTACCTTGGATTCCTGGCTGCTGGTGGACGCCGGAGAGGGCGGCTGCCCGGTGCTGGCCGCCTCCCTGGGCAGCCCGTCCACGCCGTCCTCGCGGGCGCCGCTCGGTGGGATCATCGTGGCCGCCCGGGGCTCCCGCAGGCGCCGCTCAGCTCCGGGCTCCTGGGACTCCCATGCTCGCCAGGCGCCTCCGTGCCCCGCGCG